AAAGAGAATCTACCAATAGACCACCCTTGTTGGAGAGAACCAGCTATACCTTTTGGAGACTTAGGTGATAAGTTCTTGACAATACACTTATACTTAGTGGTTTATAGGTATCATTTGTAGGAAATTAGGATTAATTTGCATGAATTAACTTAATTGTTTCATAAACGCACTTTTCGGGATCACGGGTATTTTTGTTGTGTATTTAGGGAATAAGGCTCAAAAATAATATTCGGATGAGAGATGATGTTGGCAAAGGAATTTTTTATGACTGGAAACAAACGGATCAAGAATCGGAGTTGAATTGAAGAAGTTATGGAAGTTGAAGTAAAGAGAAGATCTTAGATTACGTTCCAGCTTGAGCATGCCTTGGTATTTTGTGAATATATTGAGGTTTAAAACTCAGATTAAGACGATTCTTGGACTTTTGGAAAGCTGATTCAAAGGGATATATTTCATATGTTTACCACTTTTCCAAATTGCATCGTTATCGCATTCAAAAATCACCATCTCTGAAGCACAGTGGAATGATGCGGGAAGAAGACCAGTAGCTACTGTGCCGCGGCACACTTTTTCTAGTAGCTACTGTGCCACTGCACTCTTTTTCCAGTAGCTACTGTGCTATGGATAGTGATGACAGCTAGGAACTTTTCTTCCGTTTTTGACTAGGAAAATAGGGTTTAAGAGTCCTAAACTAACTAGAATTGAGGAAAACAAAATCCTAACCCTTGTGGAATATAAATAGAAGTCTTTTAGCATTATTTTAGGGAATTCTTTTAGAGAGAACAAAGATATTCAAGAATTGAAGAAAAAGGGAGATTAAAGAAGGCTTGGAGAAGAAGAATTGGAGGAGATCATCTTCAACTTCATTAATCCAACCAAGTTTCACTAAGTTTTTCTTCTTCTTTGTTATTATTAATTGTTATGAATAATACAATGACGTTCTCATATTTATTCATAAAGAACTAATTCTTTTGTGATTGAGGGTGATTTCAAAACCATAGAAATGTCTTGTGTTTAATAAAATCCTCATCTTTTTATCTTTTGATCCCTCTTGGTTATGTGATTATTCCTTTGAAAATAGGGTCTAACTAGATTTTTCTAATTGTTTAAGTGGCCAATTAAATCGTTAGGATTAATCTATTAATGCCAATTTAGGTTGTTTAGTACAGAACCACTTTATTAACCTAAATAACTAGTGGTAAAGTGTATGCCTACATACATGGGGGGTAATCACTCAAGATAACTAAATCGACAGTATGAGTTTAGCCTTGATTCAGTAGGTCTCTCGTAACTTAATGCTTTTATTAGTTTGAATCTAGAGATCGTATCCTAGGTTATCTAATAAATAGGGAATTGGGTTATGACCGTGTCTAATCCAACGACTCAGTAAGGAGAGATAGAACTTATCAACGTTTGGTATTTTCTGAGCTGATGTGATTAAGAGGGTAGAAAGTCAAAGAGTGCTTTTATTATATATAATTCATGTCTAGTGGTGGCGAATAAACCTTCAATCCAATTTCTCTTATTTATCTCTTTCGTGATTGTCTGCTTGTTTTATTTTGTTTGATTTTAGTTTGATAGTTTTTGTTGAGTTTTTATAATTCGTGACAAACCCTGTTTGAAGTAGNTGTCAACGCTCAGGTAATTTAGGCCCAAGAAATCAAATGCCCCAAAATCTGATTTTATTTGTTGAGATTTTAGATGTATGGGGTATTGATTTCATGGGACCCTTTCCGTCTTCTTATGGTTACTTTTATATCTTACTTGCTGTTGATTATGTGTCCAAATGGGTAGAAGTTGTTAGAGTAGATGCCCTAGAGCCAATCAATTATTGTGGAATTGACTTTTTGTAATAATGTTCATTAATCAATAAAAGGCATTTTATTTTATATCGCGTAAATCATTATTATTGCAATATGTATTGATATATGTCCTTAGAATGGAAACCGTGACGAGGGTATCAAGTGTTTCAAATCGTGATAGTGAGAACCCTATGAGCACATATGGTGGCCATTCTAGAAACGTCTGTCGCCCTAGTATTATTCTGAAGCAAGGGCACATATAATACGATAAGGCAATCATAGTGTTGAACGACCCTGTCGAAAGGCAGTGACTGATCTCACTTGTCAAGGTTGTTTATTGTCAACTTGGTGCAACACATGGGTTTGTTGTAAGCGGATACACCACAGCAAGTTCACTAGACTGACCTACCAGAGGATTTCATATGGATGGTAACCCCAGTGTCTATGGACAAAATCGTCTAACGAATGGTGGTTCATGTGATCCTTAGACTTGAGATCACCAGAGCGCCTTGTGCACCGATTGGTGTAGTTTGACACTAGCCTAACACAGTTCTTTTCAGAGCTGTTAATACGGTGGTGATTGGCTGCATCGAGGAGTGTATCAAGACTATGGTGGATTGACAGAGGATTCATCACTCCCGCGTATGGGAGAAGTTATCTCATGGCGCAGCAATGACACTAAAACGGTGGCCACAGTGGGATTGAGTTGTTGCTATATCCAGTTTATAATACAGGTCATTGGTCTAGAAACTGAATACATAATATCGAGAGTAACCGAAGGTTGACACTATTTCTATGTCTTCGTCTCGTCGAGATAACAAATGATGAAAGGATCGAATTGTACAGTAACCATATCATTGACAGGTAGCTACTTTGCTGAATCCGAATCTATCGGGTAGCCATGATGCCTTGCTAGGGGCCAATCTTGGTCAGTGTATAGTGAGACGATTAATTGGTGTTAATCGCGATACTATACACTGCCGGTATGATGAGGATCCTATGGGTCACACACATAGAAGATAATTTAAGATCCAAGAAGAAGGAAGGCCGTTTTCGTCTTTTTAAGGCAAAAGGGTATTTTGGTAATTTCACAGTGCAATTAAATTTGCTGAAGGTCGTAGCCTTTATTTAATTAGAAAAAATTAAATAAGTGAAATTACTTTTAAATATGTGTTCACATATATTTAATTAAATCATCATTATTGTTAAATGTTAATATATAGATTAAATATATATTAACTGAGTTTAATTGAGATAATGATGAAATAAATAAAATATCTAATTAGGGAGTGTTTGGTAACATGGGGTGTTTGGGTTGGAGCCCAAGCCTATTCCATATGGGAATAAGGCATTAAAGTTTTACTATAAAAGAAAATGTTTGTTTGTAAAATGTTACAATTAATTGATTAGCTCATTTTCATTGTAAAACCAAATACACAGCAGCCGTATTTCTCTCCCACGGCAGAAACCCATTTTGCCTAAAATCAATTCATTTTGATTTCATTCTTCTTTAATCTTAAAGCCAAAGAGGATCTAGCAAATCCCTCTTTCGTTCTTTGTGATTGTCTTCATGTGGACTTCATAAGTTCGATCCTACGCTTGGGTCAGTAGCAAATACGTACAAAGACTATTTTGGAGGAGCCTCCAAACGTGCGTATGTTATTCTAAACTCTTGATTACCCTTTTGTGCAGATTTTACTTTAATATAAATTGTAAAATTATACCCTTGATCTTGGCTCATGTAAATGATCCTTATATTATATTTTTTTTTGTTTCTGCTGCGTATATGGATCATTTACTAATAGTGGTATCAGAACCTAGGGTACCAAATTTTACAATTTTAATGTGGATGGTTGATAACATGTATTTGATGATATTATGTTGCCTTATAAAATCTGCCTAAAATCTGCGTTAAAATCATGTTTTAAGAAATTTATTAATTGATTAATTTAATTTGTTGATAATCTGCAAGTTTGGTATATTGGTAATGGATTTTTTGGTTGAAATCAGTGTGTATGATTCATTGAAAATCCGTTTTGAGTGTATATGATTACTGTATGAACATATCCAAAGCTACAGATCTGTGTACGCTCATCGCGGCGATATAACCCATCGCCGTAGCGAGCGTTGTTCACGCTGGCGACAAAACTAGCACTCGTCGTGACAATATAAAGCATTGCCGCGGCGATCGTCCTCTGGACGAGCCGCAGCGATATAACCCATCGGCGCGGTGATCGTCCTTAGGACAAATGCTATACCAAATCAACGCACGTTGAGCGTGAATGTCAAGTAATCAATGTATGCTACGGTGATCTAACTCATCGCCGCAGAGAGCGCACTTCCGAGTGTGTAGGGGCTAAAATGTAAAGTTTCAAAACTTTTAGACCAAATAGAGATCTGTAAATTATTAGGGGATAAATGGTAATTAACCCATAAATTTCAAAAATTGATTGTTTTTTAAATGTATGCTTTGTACTTGTTTGTATATTGCATGGTGCCTGGTATATGAGCCTTAGACCTAAGGGTGAATGTTTTAAAATATTTTTGGGTATGTATGGTTGTATAATTTATTAAATAGGGCTTGCGTGTCCTGCCTTTCTCCTATTCTCGATGTACATTCTCTTCTCATCTCATTCCCCTCGAATGTAAATCGAGGTTTCTAAATTTATTGATGTAAAGAATTTGTATAATTATTTATTGTAAATTTAGAACGATATTTTTTGTAATGTACTTGAAGACGGAGTAAAGGACGAGGCAACCATACTTGAAGACTCAAGATGTTTATTACAGGACCCCTAGGTGACCCACCGATTCCTCTAGGCTCGAGGAAATTGGTTTTAGTTGGGCCATGTACCGGCANAGCAAAACATTCATCGACAAATTTGGAGGAGCCTCCAACGTGCGTTTGTTTCTTTAAACTCATGTTGAATATTTATGCAGATTTTATTTAATATAAATTGTAAAATTATACCCTTGATCTTGGCTCATGTAAACGATCCCTGAGTTATATTATTTTTGTTTCCACTGCGTATACGGGACCGTTTACTAACAGGAACAAGTGAAGTTAAGGGCGTTCCCATTTTCTTTAGCAGATAGCGCTAAGGAATGGCTTTATTACCTACCATCCGGGACCATAAATACTTGGAATGAGATGAAGAGGCTTTTCCTAGAGAAGTATTTTCCAGCATCTCGAGCCACACTCATTAGGAAAGAAATTTGTGGGATTCAGCAATAGAATGGGGAAAACTTATATGAATATTGAGAAAGGTTTAAGAAATTGTGTGCTACCTATCCACATCATCAAATAAGTGAGCAATTACTTCTCTAATATTTTTATGAGGGATTGATGCCAATAGAGAGAAGCATGATAGATGCAGCAAGTGGAGGAGCGTTAGTTGATAAAACTCCTACTGAAGCAAGGAATTTAATTGCCACCATGGCGGCAAACTCTCAACAGTTTTGTACTTGATCCGATCCACCACCAATAATCTTGAGCAACAATTGAGTAATTTGACTGCACTTGTGCAACAAATTGCAATTGGACAAGTGAAGACATGTGGAATTTGCTCCAATGTGGGACATCCTACCGATATGTGTCTTACCTTTCAAGAGACAAATTCGGAACAAGCAAATGCCATTGGAGGATACCAAGGACAACAAAGGCAAATGTATGATCCCTTTTCCAATACCTATAATCCAGGATGGAGGGATCACCCTAATCTTAGCCATGGAGGAAATCTACAAGCTACTGTCACTAATAATCCACCCGGTTTCCCTTACCCACGAGCTCCACAACTATACCAAGCAAGACCCCAAAATGTTTCCCAACCTCAAGGTAAGTCTTTGGAGGACTTGGTAAACTCATTAGCAACTAGCTCTCTTCAATTTCAGCCAGAGAATCTCAAGTTCCAACAAGAAACAAAAATGTCAATCAAGAATTTGTAAAGCCAAGTTAGTCAATTGGCTACTAATGTTGGAAGATTATAGGCGCATGGGTCCAGAAAGCTTCTTTCCTAACCTTTGGTTAACCCTAGGGAGAATGCTAGTGCCATACTTTGAAAAGTGGTAGACAACTTGAGAAGACTCACAAGAAACTAAATGATGAGAAAGAAGTTAGAGATGAGTTGATTCGAGGTGGAACAAAGTAGTCCAAAAGTGCAAAAAATTGGCCAACTGATTCTTCCAATGCAAAACATCCACCTAAGGTACAATCTAAAGTTCCTATTAATACTTACGAACTGCCTTTGCCTTTTCCTAGCATGTTTGCCACATCAAACAAGGAGGAACATGAGCAAGAAGTTTTGGACACTTTTAGAAAAGTACATGTCAACATTCCTTTGTTGGATGCAGTAAAGCAACTGTCGCAGTATGCGAAATTTCTTAAAGAATTGTGTGCCAACAAGAGAAAACTTAAGGGAAACAAGGTGGTGAGCATGGGAGAAAATGTCTTAGTGGTTTTGCAAAGGAAGCTTCCAACAAAGTGCAAAGATTCGGGTAGTTTCACCATACCATGCATCATAGGTAACACAAGGTTTGAGAAAGCAATGTTAGACTTAGGTGTTTCTATTAATGTCATGCCTTACTCAATTTATCTTGATTTAAATCTTGGTACTCTTAAAGAGACCAGCATAGTTATTCAACTCGCTGATCGATCTAATGCCTATCCAAAGTGAGTTGTGGAAGATGTTTTGGTGTAGGTGAACGAGCTTCTTTTTCCCGTGGATTTCTACATGCTTGACAAGAAAGAAGAAACAACTGTGAAAACCACGCCATTACTTTTGGGGAGACCATTCATGAAAACAGCTTGTATGAAAATAGATGTGCATAATGAGATGTTGACAATGGAGTTTGATGGGGAAGTCATTGAATTTAACATCTTTGACACAATGAGGTATCCTAATGATGACAATGATTGATTTTCCATTAATGTACTTGACTCTTTAACGCAGCAAATGTTCGAGCTTAAGGGTAAAGATCCATTGGAAGTGGCAATATGGAATGGGTTGTCAACCGAGGAACCTCAAAGTTTTAATGAAGACGTAGAGTTGGGAGAAGAGCTAAATGAAACTATAGCAATGTTGGATGAGCTTCCAAAGAAAAATCCAAGGTATGAAATCTCCTATATTTCTCTTCCCATATCTAATGAGAAACTTTTACCTTCCATTGTGCAGGCCCTTACCTTAGAGCTTAAGCCTTTACCAAGTCATCTCAAGTATTTATACTTGGGAGAAGGAGACATATTGCCCATGATTGTAACGGCCAACCTTTCAAAGGTGCAAGAAGAGAAACTTGTTCGTGTGTTGAGAGAGTACAAAACGGCAATTGGTTAGATAATTGCTGACATTAAAGGAATAAGTCCTTCCATGTGCATGCACCGCATATTATTAGAGGAAGGATCAAAGCCTACAAGAGAAGCGTAAAGACGGTTGAATCCATCAATGATGGAAGTAGTGAAGAAGGAAATAATCAAGTTGTTAGATGTTGGTGTAATCTACCCAATTTCGGATAGTAAATGGGTTAGTCCGGTCCAAGTAGTTCCTAAGAAATCTGGAATAACCACGGTAAAGAATGAAGATAATGACTTAGTTCCCACTCATATTCAAATGGGCCTAGACTACCGCAAGCTCAATGCCACAATGTGCAAAGATCATTTTCCTCTTCCATTTATCGATCAAATGCTTAAACATTTAGCGAGCCATTCTCACTATTGTTTTCTTGATGGATTTTCAGGTTGTAATCAAATTGTGATTGCATCGAAAGATCAAGAGAAGACGACGTTTACATGCCCCTTTGACACTTTTACTTATTGACGCATGCCATTTGGCCTTTGTAATGCACCCGCCACCTTTCAAAGGTGCATGGTAAGTATTTTCTTCGATTACATAGAGAACATTATAGAGGTATTTATGGATGATTTTAATGTCTATGGGAACTCATTTGATAATTGTTTGAGTAATTTGGCATTAGTTCTTAAAAGATACATAGAAACTAATCTCGTTTTAAATTGGGAAAAATGCCATTTTATGGTAAATCAAGGGATAGTTTTAGGGCATATTATCTCATCTAGGGGGATTGAAGTTGATAAAGCTAAAATAGATCTTGTACGTTCCTTAGCACCTCCCACTTGTGTGAGAGAGGTACGTTCTTTTCTTGGACATGTAGGATTTTATAGGAGATTTATCAAGGATTTCTCCAAGATCACAAGGCTCTTATACCGTTTGTTACAAAAAGAGGTAGCGTTTGAGTTCGATGAAGAGTGTATAAAGGCATTTGAGAAACTAAAAGAACTCCTAACCATAGCCCCAATTATTTAGCTACCCGATTGGAGTCTTCCATTCGAGTTGATGTGCGACGCAAGCGATTATGCCATTGGAGCCATGTTAGGACAATGAGTTGGAAAGTTACCACACGCCATTTATTATGCTTCAAGAACATTGAATGACGCTCAACTTAACCACTCCACAACTGAGAAAGAACTTTTGGCGGTTATTTTTGCATTAGAAAAGTTTCGTTCCTATTTAATTGGCACTAAAGTTACCATTTTTTCTAACCATGCAGCTCTTAGGTATTTACTTACGAAGAAGGAGGCTAAACCAAGACTTATAAGGTGGATTCTATTGTTACAAGAGTTCAACTTAACAATCAAAGACAAAAGAGGGAGTGAGAACGTTGTAGCAGACCATTTAAGTAGGTTGATAAACCAAGAAGATGCTCTTCCATTGAAAGATGATTTTCCGGATGAACAATTACTTGCGATGACATCCTTGGGACCATGGTATGTAGATATAGTAAATTACATAGTAACTATGAGATTCAAAGAGAAAAAACAAAAATGAAGTAAATCTGTGTAACATAAAATTTGTCTCTGTTTCTTACTTACAGATACAAGAAGAAGATTCTCTTTTATATGAAATAAGAGAGACTCTAAAACGACAGCGTTTTAGAGATAAGAAGAGAAAGTGGAATTTACAACTTTACCCATTCTCACTCTTTTCTAACTTTGGTTAACATTTCCCCTCAAACACAGATAGGGTGTCAACCTTGCATCTAAGAGATTCTAACATTTCCCTTTAAGTACAGCTGAGGTAAAATTTAACCAAATAAGCATTTTCTTTCAAATGAGTAAAGATAAGTACTTCAGTTTCTGAGTCTGCACTACACCTTCAGATCAGAGAGAAAAAAAAAAAAAAGTTCAGACTTCATTCTGAAATCTGCAGACATTATCTTCAAACTTCAGTATGAAATCTGCAGTTATTATCTTCAAAACTCAAAACTGCAGTATGAAATCTACAGACATTATCTTCAAACTCCAGTATGAAATCTGCAGTTATTATCTTAAAAACGTTATACACCATTATTGACTTCACCATCAACTTCTTCCCATATTTCAAATTGCAGAATCATCATAATCCAAAACCAAAACTTCAAATTGCATAATCATAATAACCAAACAACTTAGACATTATCTTCAAAATGTTATACACCATTATTGACTTTACCATCAACTTTTTCCCATATTTCAAATTGCAGAACCATCATAATCCAAACCCAAACTTCAGATTGCATAATCACCATAACTAAACAACTCCACATCAACATCAACTTCTTTAGTTATAAACTTTCACAAATCACCATAATCTATTTCTCCATATCTGCAGACTCATCATCTAACCTTCTATTTGTCCAATTAACACAGAGCACCACTTCAGAACAATCATCTTCACAACACCCCTCCAGATCGACCAACATATATCAGAACAACCAACACAGATCAGAACAATTCAGAACAACATAGAGGAACCCTTTAGATTGATCAACACAGATCAGAACAATTCAAAACAACACAGAGCATCCCTTTAAATCAATCAACACAGATCAGAACAATTCATAACAACATAGAGCAGCCCTTCAGATCGATCAACACAAGTCAGAACAACCAACATAGATCAGAACAATTCAGAACAACATAGAGCAGCCCTTTAGATCGATCAACACAGATTCAGAACCAACATTGATCAGAACAATTCAGAATAACCAATACGTCAGAACAATTCAGAATAACCAACACATCAGAACAATTCAGATCAATCAATCACAGATCAGCACCATTTCAGAACACCACATTTCAACATTACAGACTGCCATTTTTCTTTCAGCATATTTCAGTGCTATAGATCAATTCAGAACAGCACCACTAACTATCAGTTTAGAATTTAGACTTTCCCAGCAGAAATCTTGTAATGACTTCTTTCTACTATCATATTCATACAATAGATTAATAAAAATACAAGTATACTTATCAAATAGTTAGGCCTAAAAATTTTCTTTACTTAAAATATACATTCTTTACATAGTACAATATCATTTGTACAAAAGGACTCTCAAAACAGTGGACAATGTAGCCAAGTCTCCCCGCCTGCCGACATCGATCCAACCACGTCCTCACCTATGTCTTGCAAAAACATAGAAAACAATGGGGTGAGCACAAAGATGCTCAGTAAGTAAATCCTCTACTCCATTATCCCCGTGTATCACTCTTCAATTTAGAAAACAATGGGGTGAGCACAAAGATGCTCAGTAAGTAAATCCTCTACTCCATTATCCCCGTGTATCACTCTTCAATTCTTTCCTTACTCTTGTCACTTTCTCTTATTCAATCTCTCTTGTTCTTTCTCTGTTTCTAGTTCTCACTGTTCTTTTCTTTCTTTCTATTATTTGTTTATTTCTATTCTCATCACCCATGAGGGATATCATGATAACATGCATGGATGAGATACATATGCACTAATGCAAGGCAATGCATTTTCTCTCTTTTTTTTTTTTCTTTCTATTCTTTCCTTATTCTTTTCTCATTCTTTCTCATTCTTATTCTTTCTCATTTTTATTCTTTGCCGATCGGTCTTGGTTGATGCATGGATTCGGAACCCTTGGCCATGTGACTGTACTCTCTCTCGTGTATAGCCCTCATTCGCATGTATTCTTACAGGCTATACGAAATTCTTTTTCTCATTCTCATTCCGCTCTCTCATGGCGGAGACCACTCTCTCACGGTGGTTTACATACGGGTAATTCTACACTCACGGGTTCCCCATCGTATAAACTATTCTCTTTTCTCTTCTTTAGCACTTTTTTATTCCTTTTATTCTCTAGTGCTAATTCTTTCTTTCTCTTTATTCTAAGAGAATTAGTTCTTTTCTTTATCTTTATTCTTAGAGTGTTTCTTTCTCTTTACTCATATTTCTTTCTTTGATGATTACACATATAAACATATGCATATGGATGGCTCATGCCTAGAATCTTTCTTATATGCACTCATGAAATGCAAATATGTTATGTTGCATAAAGTTCCTACTTCTACTCATGCTTCTCTTAGGCATTTCATCAAACAATATGTGTGCATACCTAAACTCTACTCTAACTATAACTTTACTTATTTCTTAACCATCCAGAATTGGAGTTCAACTCCTTTAAATCATCACACATCCTGCAAAGAAAACACACTTCAAATATTCCTCTCAAATTCTTCTAAATCTATCCATACTTCTATCAAATTTTATCAACACAATCCACCCTTCTCATGGTGGAAATCTCTCCATAAATCAACATCGAACTCATTCATAAATCCATCAACTCATTTCAAACATAAAAATTCAAGCATTAATCATATACAAATTTCTATACATCATTCAATCATGCAAATCACAACTTAGGTGGATTTACTTACCTTATACTCAAGTAGAATCCACTTAAGCTCTCTACTCTTGATGGCTTGATGCTTTCTCTTAAACCTTATACACAAACTTAGTAAGGATCCTACTTTTACACTAATGAAAATTCACATCTAAAGTAAGGATTCTTACCTTTAAGTGCTTGTGAGAATTGAAGGATGGAAGAGGCGGTGGAAAAGAAAGAATGAAAGGGTTTCTAAAGCTAAACCCTTAATATCTTATATTTTCTCCACTCTTTCCCATTTTACCCTTACTCTTTCTTAGGAATTCCAACTTTGCCGTTTAATTCTTTGTGAATGCACCCGCATTTAAACTATTCTCCATGCAATTTCCTTGCATTTCACTCCCCACTTTTCCTACTAATTAGGGGTAGAATGGTCATTGTGCCCCAAAGGAAGAATTCTCTAGAAACTCATAAAAATTTTTAGCTGAATCTTCATCGTGGCGAAGAGGAATTCTTCACCTCAATGAAAAATTCCAGGGCCTACGTCGTCGCAGTGACGAGTCTTCTTCGCCGCGGCGAAGTCTGCCTTTCACAAATTTCAACAAGACTTCACCAATTTCAGGGCATTCAAACAATTTCAACACATACACATTTAACAAAGGGCACAAAAACAACTTTAAGGGCAAAATGAGCAAATATGAGTTACGTACCTCAAGCGGGCATTACAAATCTTCACCTCAACAACATTGAGTTTCTGTTTCAGCTCCTGAAATTGAGTTACTGATAAAGACTTCGTTAACACATCAGCAATCAGCAATTTTGATGGAACATATTGCACTGTGACTTTCTTAGCTAAAACCTAATCTCGGATGTAATGTGTATTTATTTCAATGTGCTTAGTTCTAGCATGAAATATAGGATTAGCTTTCAAAGCTCCTGCACTAAGATTATCACACCAAATCACATGAGTGGCAGTTAATGTGATTCATATCTCAAAGAATAGGTTGTCTAACCAAGCTAATTCAGTTGCAGTCTGTGCAAGGGCTCTGTATTCAGCTTCCGTTGAGGATAAAGCAACAACTTTTTGCTTACAAGAGCTCCATTGAATGAGATTGGGTCCTAGGTAAATACAATACCCACTTGTAGACCTCCTATCATTAAGATTACTTCCCCAATTTGCATCGGTATAACACTCAACACAAAGGGCAGCTACTAGTTTGAATTGCAATCCATGAAACTGAGTGCCTTTAAGGTACCGTAATGCCCTTTTGCAGGCCATCCATTGAAGTTTAGTTGGAGCTTGAAGAAATTGACTAAGCTTGTTAACTGTGAAGCTTATATCTGGTCTTGTTGAAGTCAAGTATTGTAGAGCTCCAATGGTGTTTCTATATACACTAGGATCCTTGAACAACTCACTATCAGAAGAAAAAAGCTTGGTACCAGCAGCCATTGGAGTTGGACAAGGATAAGCATCTTGCATTCTAGTTTTGGTTAATAAATCACCAATATACTTAGTTTGCTTCAAATGTATGCCTTATGTATTTCTAGTATCTTCTGAACCTAGAAAGGAACTCACAAATCCAAGTGTTTTTAAAGAAAATTCACTATTTAGATTTTTACAAGTTATAAAATAGAAACATTGTCAGATCCAGTAATAAGTATATCATCTACATAAATGAGGATGTAAAGGACCTGATTTGTTTCCTTAAGAATGAAGAGACTAGAATCTAAAACTGAATTTTGAAATCTCTATTCAACAAAGCTTGCTTGAGTTTGTCAAACCAGGCTCTCGGTGCTTGTTTAAGACCATACAAGGCTTTATTAAGCCTACATACATGAGAAGCAAATTTAGGATGCTCAAACCCAGCAGGCTAACTCATGTAGACTGTTTCACTCAAAACTCCATTGAGAAGGCCATTATTGACATCAACTTGTTGAATATCCCATCATTTGGACACAACAAGAGTAAATATGATCCTAATCGTAGAGGGTTTAATCACTGGATTAAATGTTTCAAAGTATTCTAAACCAGGGGTTTGTTGAAAGCCCTTTGCCACTAACCGGGCCTTATATTTATGTAATGAACCATCAACATGATACTTGGTTCTAAAAACCCATTTATTCCTAACAATATTCATGTCATAAGTCCTGGGAACAAGACTTCATGTTTCATTTCTCATAAGGGCAATGAACTCATCATGCATTGCCTCTCTCCACTCTTTACAAGCAAGAGCTTCATTTACTGAAGTGGGTTCAGGTTAAATAGGAGAAGGTGTAGAGACTATCAGGACAGTTTTTTCTGGATCAGCAGGTTTGGCTTTATTTTGATCAGCAAGTTTAGCTCTAGTGATCAGGGGATGGATATTGACAGATGAAGGATATGTGGCTGGTGTATTTAATGTTGTTGATGTTGATGTAGTGGAAGAAGGATGTGATTGGTAAGTAGGAAACTGAGAGGATGACAAATCAATTACAAGACTGCAGTTAGTGCTCTCACAAGGCAGAGGAAGTTGGGATTGAGTGCTGGAAGTGATTGAGGACATGGATTTAACGGGTATAGATGGAAAACAAGTAAGATCTACAACTAGAGGGTTCACTGGACAGTTCAAGGTATATGTAGCAGGTGTGCAGATTGTGTTTGAGACTTGTGAGATTGTGTTTGAGATATGGATAAGGATGGTGAAACAGAGGTACAGGTAAGAGACTTAGAGAGTGTGACATGTTGAGAATTATGACTAGAACTGAAATTATGTGACAAATCAGGAGATTTACTAAAACAAGAAGCAATGGAGTAAGGAATTTGCTTACCAACTGCTATAGAAGTACAAGGTGGAGAACAGGGCACTGCTGAAGAATCTTTGCTGCTGGAACCAGTTACACAGTTTATAGAAACAAAAGGATAATTGTAAAACCCCCCTCCAGTCAGGTATCCTCTGAATATCCCTCAATGAGAATCCCGAGGATACATGTCTGGAGAACGAGTTGTATTTAGAAAAAAATCTGTATAAGGATATAATTAATAATATCCAAAACATGCATAAAAATATCACGCAGGATCTAAACTTATAATTTACAAACTTTAAGAAATTACAAGATCAAAACATATTTATAGGGTGGAAGCTTCCAAATGTATTTCACAAATATTTATCATTTACATATTTACATCAAGATGAAATAATCATCTCCCCTCACGTGTAGTCCCGCTGTCTCTAGCACCCTCGCTTCTAGGCTACCTGCAAAGCAATCAACATGAAAGGTGAGCGCTAATCGCTCAGTAAGGAATGATCCGTTTATCTGTAAACATCACTTTTTTTTTTTTTTTTTACATCTAGGGATACTCCTTTTATTACTAATTCATATGCTTCATCATTTTATCCCATGGCTAATAAACCTCAGTGTACACACACATCACATAGCATGACATAACATCTAAAATCATCTAACATGAGTATAAATAATCTCCATGATGTAATAACTCATAACTCATGTAAGCAACTAAATGCATATGAAACATTTAACGTCTAGCCGATCGGACTTTTTTGCATCTTAAGCACTTCATACTCTAGCCTCAAATTCATCTAGCGCTCATATCATCGGGAGGCATGCTTCGCGTTTTGCACATCTAAAGCATATATTCATTTTCCAACGGTATACGAGGATATGCTTACGCGTTTTCCATCATGTCTAATGCATATCTATCATGTCTATTGATCTCTAAATCTTATGGCATGTAAAACATATTTGGTGAGCTAATACTTTTAATTCATCTATGGATTATCAATCCATTTACATTACTCTTGCTCACATACATCATCTTAAAAATGTATTATATTGCATTTCATGCCATTTCATAACATTAATCATGTATTGACATCATGACATGTTATCTTTCAAAGTCATCTAACTAATGGGTAAACATTAGTACATGGATACACAATAATATATGAATAATCACATATAATCATAAGATTGATCTTGTTAAATCTTAAACTTAATAACCAGTTATACTTCAGGCCATTTTCCATCCTTACTCAATGAATTGGCTCTTGGCATAAACATAAAAATTATGGTCTGTGTCTTAGCTTTCTAATGCTTCAAGAATCATCTCATCGATTTTTATAACTCAAGTTATGGTCGAAATACGAAGCAGGGCTAACAAACCCGACAAGCCCAAATCACAAACCGAATTTTCATATTACATGCACATCAATTCCTATTGACATTAACCAATAGGTTAACTTATGGATCAAATAAACCTCCCCTTAATAGTCTTTAAAATCTTAAAGAAAGTGTGAAATCTCATTCCCATACTATCCATTATTGCTATAACATTGAAGCTAATGCAAACAACACATCAACACTCTAATAGCAACCATTCAACACCATGTGGCCTCCAATACTACAATTTTGCCACAGTCAGTATCCACACTTCATTTTCTTAATAAACATCAAACTCATAAAACATAAATAGCAAAACTTCATGTATAATGAATTCAAGGCAATAAGTAGAATAAATGAGTTCAACTACACTTGCCATCAACTAATTCTATGCCTTAAAGCTTTATTTAAGGTTTCATAAAATCTACAAACCCTAGCATAAACCCTAAAGTCATGGGAGGTCTTCCTTACCTTTAAAGACTTCCTCCAACAAATCCTTTGCCTTTGACTTCTTTTACACCTAATCCTACATATATAACATTATACCTCAACATCTACCAAATCTTCAAATCACATCAAAACTAAAGTTTTAATCCTTACCTTAAACCCTTCAAATTGAAGATCCAAGGCTCCTATCTTGTTCTCCTTGAAAATTATGCAAAACTCCTTGAAAAACCTAGAGAAAGAAAGCTTGTTCATGGAAGATTTGAGAGAAAATAGAGAAGAAAGTTGAAGAAAGGCTCTCTCCTTGGCTTGAACGAATTCATCTCATTTATAGGAAAATATTTCATTTATTTTCCAAAATTATGCAATTGGCCAATTATTTTAATTGTATAACTCAAGTCCTTAATTCTTCATATAAGGGCATTTTGGTCATTTCACACTAGACATAATTATTACTTAATTAATGCCATAAATGCAATGAAGCCTACTCATCTTGACTTTTTCAATGCTTATCCATAGGCAAAATAACCATTTTGCCCCTAAGTCTCTTTATGGATAATTGATTCATACCGTTCCAAATGAATTGACTATTTTGCCCTTAGTTAGATTTTATGCTTTTTAACATAAAATAAACATTTAAAGGACATTTTGAGTTAGGAACATACCTTTGACATCTGGGTATTACATTTCCTCCCCCTTACAATAATTTCGTCCTCGAAATTATAGAAACAGCTCTGGGTTCGACTTCTCATATCTTGTCCCATTCTCAAGTAGCTTCTTCTATCTTGTGATTCCTCCAAAGTACTTTAACTAGTAGAATTTGTTGTTTCTGAGCTCTTTTACTTTCTGTCAATGATTTGAACTGGGCGTCCTCATAAGCCAAATTATCCTGTAATTCCATTCCTCCATCTGAAGCACATGTGAAGGATCACTAACATACTTACGCAACAAAGAGACATGGAAAACATTATGGACTCTTTCCATGCTCATTGGCAGTGCAAGTTATAAGCTACTTTGCCTACCTTCCAATACTTCCAAGGGTCCAATGTAACGTGGAGAGAGCTTGCCTTCTTTCCAAAACAAAATATGTTATAAGGAGCCTTTTACAAAAACTTTGTCGCCCTGGATTCCACTTCTTTTCTTTTTAGGTCGGCATAGCTCTTTGTCGATCTTGAGCTTGCTTCATTCTTTCTGTAATAAGCTTAACAATCTTCAATCATTTTTGGGTCATCTTGGTCAACTGCTTGAATCAAGGAGTCTTTTTCTCAATATCATCCCAATACAAAGGGGATCTGCACCTTCTTCCATATAATGCTTCATATGGGGCCATGTGGATAGTGGATTGGTAGCTGTTGTTATAGGCAAATTCATTAGTGGAAGTACATCACTCCATTTTGCCTTGTGATCCATACAACAAGCTCTCAGCATGTTTCAATCACTTGGTTGGTCTTTCAGTTTGACCATCAGTTTGAGGATGATAAGCCTACTGAAGGCTAACTTTGTACCCAATGCTCTTGCATTCCAACCCAGAAAGCTGATATGAACTGGTATCTCTGTCAGATACGATCGTCTTAGTACTCCATGTAATACAATCTCTTTGACATATAATTGCCCCAATCGAAATGCATATCTTATCCGTCATAGGTAGAAAATGAGCTGTCTTGGTCAATCTATCACCACCACCCAGATTGCATTATATCCTTGCTGAACTTTAGGAAGTCCCACAATGAAGTCCATTGAGATATCCTCCCATTTCCATTTAGGAATCTCTAAGGGTTGGAGTATCCTGATGGTCTCTGATGCTCTGCCTTTACTGTTGACATGTTAAACATCGGCAACATATCGGCAATATCTGTTTTCATACCTGACCACCAAAAC